ATTTATCACCATTTTCAATTAAAACTAAAAATATCATAACTCAGTCAAAACCCATCTAAGCTACTTCAGAATGTCAGCAAATACTCTGTTTTATTTGCAGCAGACCGTAAAGCTCAATAAGTGTTGTAAAAACCAACAAAAAATACTTTGGTTTCTAGAAAGATTTTCCAGAAACCTTTGGAACTAAGCAACATTTTTTATTGATTTTACGCACAGAATCAGAATGAGGGGTAAAATAGACTGTTTGCTGACATTCTGAAGTAGCTTGGATGGGTTTTGACTGGGTTATGATATTTTTAGTTTTTGATGAAAATGGTGATAAATGGGTTCTTTCACCTAGTATAGGTTTTTACTCGGTTATTGAATTTTGTTCTAAAACTAACATTGCCACGAGATTCATCGTAGTCGATAACCTATGTTTGCATTCATTTTCGACAGTTCCAAACCTAACGGCACTGGAGTGCTAAGGCTTCAGGAAAAACATCCACAGCTTCGGAATCATGGATTTCTAAGATGTTGGTTTGATCTAGTTTTGTAGAGGACACTTCGGACTATATGTCAGTGAAAAAATTTAATTTTAGCTTCAATATTTATTTTGACAGTTGCAAAGTCCTTAGGGGATTTATCGAAAACTTCTTGAAAACCTTAAGTTATTGAGATATAATTTTGGCAACCTCATACATTTGCACTACATAGTTTAGCAAGTTCAAAACAAAAAATAAAAAAATTTTAACTTTCCAGCTCTTACTCCTATCCTATAGGCGGCGCGCCATAGTAGCGAGGGGAATAGCCCCTGTAGAAAATTAGGGATAGCAATAGAAAGTTATTGCTACCCCTAATAACATATATTCTGGGAGTTGTTAGAAGAAGTGGGAGCTGAGAATTGTTATTATTTATTAAAACTATGAGTTTAAAAAATTTATTGCTACCCCTAGGAACTTTAACTTGCGCCGCCTATGTCCTATCCTAATTTAAACAGCTTTGACTTCAGAAGTCGAACGACATTAGATCTGGTAAAATATTCCGAACATTCTGAAATATCCGTTTATCTCATTCAAATCGCCGAATTGCCTGCTATATTCATAATTATCCAACTATTTACCAAATCAGGAGCAAAAAAATCATAATTCTGTCCGTAATTCGCAACTTTTCCATCAGAACTTATATTTTATTCATTATTTTATGTAACGCTAGTTATTATTCGTATAGCAGCAGGAACTAAACCAAGTCGATTGAAATTCTAAAAATATGGTTCGGAATTGCTAAAACAAATAAAATAGCATGATGAACAATTGCTATCTGAAGTAAAAATCATCATCATATGTTCATTATCGAAATTACTCGTTAAATTTAGAGTTCAATGTTACGAACAGAATAATTAATCTTAACATTATTTAATAATAATAATGTATTTCCTCAGTTACGTAGCATTCATATTAATATTTTTCTTCTTTGTAAAATCATTGAATATATTTATGAACCATCGTTTGAAAACTCAGTAGGAAAATTGTTATTATATTATGATCAGTCAACAAATAGAGAAAAACACCATCATTACATCAAACAATATCAGAAAATTGAAGTTCTGAAGTATACTTTTGACGATGTTTATCACTTTTGTAGTATTTCTGATACAACGACATTATCGCGATACAAAACCGCGAACGACTCTACCACGAAGATTTATTCATTCGAAAAGAAGAATAAATGAGCCTGGTTTTGTATTCTGTACATCATGTTTTGAAACCTCAGTTTAACCTCATTATGTGCTACAGTTACAGATATACAGTTTGGCATCATCAAAATATGTTTTGTGTAAAACTACTTTTCGAACTCACTCTCGCACTGCCCTTTCCAACCTGCCACGACACATGGCCAAAAATACCCAAATGTGTACTATGAAAAATTCGTGGAAGAGTTGGGATTCTGTTTGCGGAAAGATCGTATCACGGGTTCTGCACTGTTATAAAAATCTCGATTATGTACAAACCAATGCTGATAAATAGTGAGCTTCAGTTTATCGTATACCGAAGAGAAAATCGGTCAAACACAATAAGCAATGAAACTGGATATCTGTAATTGTATCACATAATGACTATTAACTGTATAACATCGCCTAGGTTTCAAAACACGATATACGAAACCAGGCTCATTTATTCTTCGTTTCCAATAAACGAGTCTTCGCGATAATATCGTTTTCTGTATTCGCGGTAATGTCGTGTTACGGTATTTCTTGTTTTTGTCTGGAAATATAATTAACACAAAGAGATTACGCTGAAATCTGGAAGGAATCATTCTTCATCATCATTCATCGAATCACTCGATTCGGTGGCTTTAGAAGTCGATTGAGTCCGGCAGTTGACATTAGACCTGGTAAAACATTCATAGGACATTTCATAAATCTATCCAGTCTTTTTGATCAATAGAGGTAGCCAAACGTTTATCTCATTCAAATCGCCGAATTGCCTGCTATATTCATATTTATCCAACTATTTACTAAATCAGAAGCAAAAAAATCATAATTCTGTCCGTAATTCGCAATTTTCCCCAGCAAAACTCACATTTCATTGAATAAAAAATATCGAAGTCAGCGCCAAAAACTGAGTCGAATCAAAGGCAGTGGAACGATTTTAAATAGTGTAAGATTCGATTTAAGGCGTTCCTCAGTGAAATGAATTTTTCCCATATTTTTGGTAATCAATAAAGAGCAGATGTATATGTGATAATAGTTTCTCGTAGAAGAAATAAAAATTTCTCAGCCTGGAAGGCGCCTTTTGTGCTCTTTGCTTCAAAAAAGGTGAGAATTTAAACACCTTTTCTCTAGTAAGATTAGTGGCGTAACTAGGAAGAAGCATTAGATGAGGCTCAGTCTCAATCTTTTTATAAATTGAAAAAGGTTAAATGTAAAATTTACCCTAAGCTTTTAGGAATTGAGTCTATCGGATCATAGTGAATGACCAAGCTAAGATTTAGGCTACCAACAGACTTTGACGCGTTTCCTACCGCTCTTTTTAAGACGTTTTCTTGAGGATAAACCTCATTTTTCTTTAAAAGCATGAGAAATACACCGTCGAAGGCAGTGAAAAGTTTATAGCAACTAAAAATATCAAACGATTTTATGCAGAAACCCTTTTATCATCTGGCTTGGATGTGATTCACATTCAAGCCAGAAAAAATATACTTAAAGGCGAGAAACTTTCGTTGAAAGACAAAAAAATGCAAATGCAAGCACTCGAACATGGTGAAAATTGAGAAATGATTTCGGTTGGACTCAAATGGCAGACCGTACAACCACTGCTAGACAATAATTAACACCCGCTTCTAGAGGGTGGCCACAGCCACATGAGCGAAGAAGTAAAAAGAGAAAATAAAACTTTTGGTCAATTTATTTGATGGAAGAATTACAAAGAGTACTCGTTGGAAGCTAAAAATTGTCAACCGGACCACAAGAGCTTTCGATACGTTTTTATTCAAAGGCGCCGAGTTTTCCAAACCCTTACAGATTGCTTCGCATACTCGAGACTCAAAGCCAGCAGAAAAAAAGACAAAACTGATCCTGTTGAGAAATGTGCCAAATGGTACGTGGTTGAACAGCTATGTGGATCCGCTTTAGTGACACCAATGGACTCTGCAAATTAGAAAAGTGATCCGCAACTTTACTGAATGAAAGTTTTAAGTTTAAACAAGCCATAAATAACATTTCGTTTCCTCTTTTTTCTTTCTTCTGATTAAACATCTTTATTGGAATATTCGCTGATGGTACCCGTGGATAGGCTAAAGTGCAGTATAGAGGACCTGTCTAGTAGTGTAGCAATATCTCGGTAACAGTGCTTGGCCAGAAGGTAGAAATATGAGAAAATGACATGTTATTTGTGGCTTGTTTCATAAAGTGGATTTGAGGATCACTTTTCTAATACTTGACTGCATTGGTGACACTAAAGCAGATACACTTAGCTATCTGACCACGCACCAAACGAAGACGACGCAGAATATCAAAATCAAACTGAATACCAGTGGTCGAAACCAGACTTGTACTGTAAGCCAACACAAAGATGGACATCCTCTTCATTTGGCTTTACAGCGAAAGTGTGGTTTTCTCAGGTTAAAATTTTTTTGAAATTTGACTTCTTTTTACAGTTTGCTTGACATTAAAAAGTAAAAAAATATGTTTGTTCAGCTTTTTTACTGAGGTTATTAAAATAGCAACTGGAGAAGCAATTAATCAAATTCATTTTTGACAAATTTTGCGTCGCTCTTTCGGGAGGAATTCTATATCTCGGTCATTTTGAGTTTTCATGCTCCGAAAGCAAGAATTTGTGGATGACTTTGAATGCTCTATTCGAAGCAATTATAAAAAGGTAGGCGAAGTGTTGATCTTATTACAGGTTTTCTCGATGATACTGTGTGATGCCTCATAACAATCTTGATGAAAACGCATGAAGTCAGGAGAGTGAATGTGACATATTAACTTCAGTTACCACTGACACATAAACTTATTTAATGCTGAACAGAGATGGGTGAGTATGAGTATACTTGAGTACAGATTTTTGGATACTCGTACTCGTGATTTTTTATTTTGAAATGCTCGACGAAGTACTCACGTACTTGATTTTAAAAATGTTGATGAAACTCCCAGCCACATTCCCCAAAAACCATAGGAATTTTTAAAAACTTCGTGGTATAAAGAAAAAATAAGAGTTAATAACAATTATTCAAATCTCTCAGAACTTGACGCTGAAAAATAAGATGACTTTATTTCTTCTAAAATTTGTTATACTCGTACTTGTCTCGAAAAGCCGTGTCCTCACCCATTTCTGATGCTGAAAGTCAGATATCACTATGACATTCCGTGGCAGGATGTTTGTTAAAAAGACTTATTTTATATTCTGGGAATAATTTTCACGTCGACTGTATGTATTTTATAGGAACAAAAACATTTCAAGTGAATTCTGATAGAAATATAACCATTCTTCAATGCCATTACGATACAGGATGATTGGTCAATCTGTTTTATCTACTTCGATTTCTTCCAAAAGTTTTCTGATCACTGCCACAGCGGATAGTCTAACTTCAAACACTTCATGTTCCATTTTATTCAATTTGTCTGTGTATCTCCAGACTTGTTCCGTAGTAATTTCTTGTTCTCGATGTAAGGATGTCATTATTTTGCTACCTATATTACCTACTTGAGATAGATTTTCGGAAAGCGTCGCAAGAACGTCAGATAATGAACGATTGTAGAACAATGTCATTTGCAGTTTGGCATGATTATTAGTCCACTCCGTAAAGGTCTCTGTTAGTATATGCTTTACAATGTTATTGAATGGTACATAAACAATTAAACTTTGTAAGTAGACGGCCGTTTCACTCTCCGGTTGGATAATATCAATAAAAGATGTCAATGGCAGTTGACTATTATATTGTAGCGTGCGAGATGGATTTTTTCCACGACGACCTTCGCATACGTCGGCGAGTGTCTTTAGTGGATCACTAATCGAATGTTCACCGGTGAACGTTTTTAGTTTTGAAATGTAGCCAGTGAGATGCTCAACACCGGTGTGGGTTAATTTTTGATTCAATTCTCTCAATCGTTCATACATACAATTAACGTCAGTGATATATTC